CAAGACACCTCGGTCCCCAGCAGGTCCCCTCAGGCTCTGGTCCCTCCCTGAGAGGGCTGGGATATTTTGGTATCGTGGCACAAGTTTTTGAGTTTTAAAAAATTGGAGGGAAAAAAAAAAATTATGTTTTTCTCCTAGAAAACATTCTGGTCAAACAGAAAAAAAAATAAAATAGCTTTTTGGCTACATCGTTCCACCTGCATTTGGTTTCCCACCTCCAGGCTGAGCCCACCTCCTCCCTCTGCTCAGGCTGCAGCTCCCAGCAGGATCGGTTGGACTTGATGATCTTTATGGTTGGACCTTTAAGGTCTTTTCCAACCAAACCAACTCAACGATTCTACAATCAGGTCCCCCCTCAGGAGAACTAGAAGCCCGCCGGCACGCCTGCTACCTCTCTGGCCATCTGAGCAGCTTGTTGGTTCCTCCTGTAGAAGATCTCCTTGTAGTCGTCCATCCAGACCTCGGCCAGGCGCACCTGGTTCCTGGAGATGACCTGGGTGCCCTTGGGGAAGGTGTGGGGGCTCTTGGAGCGGAAGACGTGACCCACGACGGAGCAAGGGATGATCTCGACTTGACCCCCGCACTGCCAGACCTACGGAGAGACAACGTCCAAGACCTAGAGGGGAGTCCAACCCCTCCCGTGTCCCCCACCCAGGAACGTCCCCGAAGACGTCCTTTGGAGAAGGCATCAACCCATCCTTACCCTGAAGGACATCTCTACGTTCTCGCCCCCCCAGATCTCCATCTGATCGTCGTAGGAGCCAATGTGCTCAAAGTAAGACTTGGAGATGGCAAAGAGGCCACCAGCGAAGGTTGGGGACCTACAGGGGAGGGAGAAGGGGAGGCAAAATAGCCTTAAAATAATAATAGAAAAGCAGAAGTCTGAGTTTTGGGCACGTTGTGGCCGAGGTAGGTGCGAGCGCTTTGCAGCTGTGTCCCCCTCCATCCAGCTGCACCCCAGATGTGGTGGCTTTGGTGCAAGGGACCTGGGTGCCAGGAGGGGACGGAGCCGGCGGGACACCGAGGGGCCTGGCCATCAGCTCCCGAAAGGGAGATATTGTTACCGAAAACCTATCGCTGAAAAGAGGGGGGGAGGTTCCAGCGGAGCAGCCCGCGCCCCATTCACTCCTCCGCCCGCTCTAATCTTTTCCATCTGATCTTTAGAAGAGGCTGGAACAGAAACTCGCTTTTATTCAGGGAGAATTAAAAAAAAAAAAAAAATAGAAAAAAAGAAAAAAAAAAA